TAAATAACGTAATTGTATGAAGCAAAAAAAAAAGAAGAAAAGAAAGAGAGAACGTGTTAAGAAGACATGATGCAATGACGACGATAGGATCTTAAATTAACTTTTAGTTTTAAAGAACGGAAAAAAAAGATTAATAACTAGATTTTTCTTTTCTTTATCAATAGAAACAATGACTATGTATATACAGTTGTTCGACCATAGCATATACTAATTCAAAACAGTAGAGGTCAATAGAGAGAACACACAAGGAAACTGAGTAATGACAATGATCAAACAAGTTAGTAAAGTAATACAGGACGTAATATGTATATATATATACACAATGAATGGACAATATGTGCATGCACGAAGCAAAACAATGTCCCCTCGAGTGTCTCTCATTATAATGACCAACTGTTTGAAACGAAGATAGACATGAGATATATTATCTGAGGAATTGAAAAAAAAAGAGAGAAGTGTATGTGTGTAGACATACATTGTAATGTATGAAATAATTAGTAATTTTCTTTTATCCGAATTATTCATTAGGAAAATCGATTTGAAATAATTGCATGATATTAAATAGAAGATTTCTCTAGAGTCTATTTACCTTTGAATAATTTTCATGATGATGATTATTATTATTATTAACTTCAAGACATTCATCTTCTTTAACTGATTGTAATGGTTTCGAATATGCACTGGTAATCATATTTAAACATTTATTATTATTATATAAAATTGCTGTTTCAATATCATATGTTGATTTTGATTTAGTATTATTATTTGTAACATTTTTTATTTGCGATGTTAATCCAGATGATGATGATGATGATGAATCTGTTGATCGACTCATAATTGTTCTTGGATCTTGACGAAATGAATTAGATGGTGTTGTCGTTTGTGATGACATTGATGTATTACCAACACTACGTGATGAATCAGTACGAACTGGTATTGGTGGTCGTTGACGTGCCGATGTCGAATCTTTGATAGGTGTTGTTGATTTAACTTTAGGTGGTGTTTCAGCATAAATATTACTTCGTTCTAAATCCGAATAATCCATCATAATATGTTTAGGTGAATTAAGAGATTTCATATTTTGATAGGCTTTTATATGTTGGTAATCATCAATTCCATTCGGTTTTGTCTTTCGAGCAATGGTATTTGTAGGAGAATCATTAACTAAGAAAAAGAAAGAATAGATTATTAGAATCTAGACTGTTAATAAAAGAAAAATAACATAGATTGCCATTTACATCCTAATCAAGACGAGAAGAAGAAAAAAAATGATTATTGTTTAAAGAATCCAAGGTTTTTTCTTCTTTGTTTGAAGAAAATTAAAGCTCAAGTATACAGCTGTGAGACTATACATAAATCAAATACAAGTTTTTTTTTCTACTACTAAAATATTAAAGAATCCTATAAAAAAAGACGACGAAGAAGAAATTAATTTCGAAGTCTTACGTAACTTCAATATAATCTTCTAATATTGTATATATTATTCTTAACTAAAAAAGGTCATTATTCTGTTAACTAAGTATATCCAGATCTATTTGAATAACAATACACATAGTCTTATTCAAGGTGAATACATATGTTAGAATAATTTTCTCTTAGGATTCAATATAGTTAACATCATCATTTTGTTCACCTACTGTGAGATCTATAAACATAAAAGAAACAACTAAATTCTCTTCAACCTGCTGTTCTATATGAGGTCATTGATATCTATGTAGTTACAAATACAATGAACAAAAGAGAAAGGAGATTGACTTGAGAATAAACTGATGAAGTCAAACTTTTATTTACTAACCGCGTCGGACTACGGTCATCATATATAAACGAACGAAATATGATACTTATGTGTACGAAAAAAAAAGAAAAAAAGAAGAATGAACTTTTCAGTTATATAATATCATCAAGAAAAAATAAGATGAATTAATTAATAAACACCTACTTTCATATGTTTGTTTAACTATCCAGTTCCAAACACGATCATAGACTTTTTTCATCGAATCAATATTGCTATTATTCATTGTCAAGTTTTTATTTAATACATCCAATATATGTAATATTGTGTTTAAATTGTTTTGTTTCTTTTACTTTTCTTTTTTTCTTTACATATATAAAGTTTTTTTTTAACGAAAGAAAAAAAACGTCAGTACGACAATGAACATAAGAATAAAAGACAGAATGTGACGAAAAACGCATGCTCTCCTCTCATCTAATCAATCAATATTTTAAAAATAACAAAGAAAAAAAAAGAATGTATGAATATTTTCTATAATATATATCGTAGTTTAAGATAAAATAGATTTCGATACCAATTATTTATTTCTAATATAAACAAAAAAGGTTATTTATCGTGTTTCAGAAATCTTAAATGAGCATAACTATTTAGGACATATGTTTATCCGAAAGTTATTCTTTATCTTTCTTTGTTATTCATATAAATATCAACAAATCGATTTGACTCAATTATTCAATAGATTGATCAATCCAGGTTTTTTCTATTAGTTACAGCTATATCAATAATGATCATTATCTCATATGTATTCAATCAAATATGTGATCTCGTTTTTCAAGGTGATAAATGTGAAATTGAAAGTAATGACATAATAGCTTCTTTTTTTTTTCAATCGAATACATATGAAACAGATGCTCAATATGTGTCTACCGAGAAAAAGAAATGGCACTTACAATTGACAATATTGAAATAATCAATACACATTCTCGTTTCTTTTTTTTTTTATACAAATGTAATAGTCGATGATAATGATGATGGCATTTGAACAAGAGAAGAAAAAAACGTTTTCAAGGTTTCAAAAGTCATTTGAACTTTTTCTTTTTTTTTTCTCAATAGGTTAGAGATTGATTGAGTTTTTAAATGTAAAAATTATAATAGTTTTCTACCTGCTGTTAAACATATTATTCGTCGATGTACAACAAGATTTTCTAATGATCGTGTTAATGAAAATCGATCCGTTAAAGTTGACCACATAGCGAGAAGATGAAGAAAAATGAACGTTGTCACCTTACTACTGTCCTATGTTTTATTTCTTATCTATTCTTTCTCTATCTCAGTTTGTTTATACATAGTTCTAACATAGTTCAATTTTTTTT